TGCAAGGGAAATTCTGTCATGGATTTAGATCAAGCAGAAAGACATCAAATCCTTGATACTGAACTGACAGTGATGGACACATCGTGACTACAGGCCGATTTGGGGTGGAGAGCACACAGCTGTTCAGTAGGACTCTGACAACTCCAGGGGGTGACATGCATAGGAGCTCCAATTACAGGCAGCCCTGGAGCTGGCATGGGGCACCCTGCAAGTGAGTTTGGACAGATTAGTCATGGAAGACCCTTTAAAGAGAAAGGCAGGACTTATGAGGACAATGCCACCATTACAAATCAGGGAGGCAAAAATAGTGCATTACTGAGCATAAAGCCTGGTGCCAGGTGGTCATGAGTTCAAATCTTGGTTTCCCTAAGTGACCCTGTGCAAGCTACTTAACTTCTTCAGGCTTTACTCTCCTCATCTTTAAAATGGGTTAATAGCAGTACCGATAGCTTTATTATGGGAATTCAGTAAGTTAATATTTGTAAAGCAGGTAGATAATACCTGACACATAGTAAATATCACATAAGTGTGTTTTAAAAAATCTTAAAGCATGTGTGAGTGCTCTTCCTGCCAATGCTTAATAAAATCAGATATGAATCATGTGACCAAGATTGTCAGTAGTTTCCCTTTATTCTCAATTACTGAGGTGGTTATTGTTGCTGCAACACAACTTTACTTCAAATTATAACAACTTCAGTTGTTTTATGCATTTGTGAATGCTTTTACACAGTCTACAGTTCTTTAAAATGGGAATAAAGTACTAACTATAGAGATATGACTGGATTCTTCAAAATATTTTCAAGAAAAAGACATTAAAACATGTTGAAATCCATGGAGAGTTTTTCACAATACGCATTTTCATAATTTTTGGAACCCATTCTTATGCATTTATTTCTAAATATTTTGCACCAAAATAACCTTGTCTTTTAATTCTATTTTCGGAAGTGCCCTACTAGTTGTACAAGGATACACTTGTTCTTTGTTGCACTGTTTGCAGCAGAGAAAAAAATTAGAAATAATTTAGCTGTCAGTGTAAGACTAGATAAATTGTGTCATATTAGTAAGACATAATAATATAGATAGATAGATAGTTTAAAATTGAATTAACTCTACCTGAAACAGCAGATATACATTTCTTCCTTTTTTTAAGATTTTATTTGTTTACTTGAAAGTCATAGTTACAGAGAGGCAGAGACAAAGAGAGAGGTCTTCCATCCTCTGTTCACTCCCCCGATGGCTGCCAACGGCCCGAGCTGCGCCGATCCGAAGCCAGGAGCCAGGAAGCAGGAGCTTCTTCTGGGTTTCCCTTGCAGGTGCAGGGACCCAGGGACTTGAGCCATCTTCCTCTGCTTTCTCAGGCCATAGCAGAGAGTTGAATTGGAAGTGGAGCAGCCAGGACTCAAACGAGCACCCATATGGGATGCTGGCACTGCAGGCAGAGGCTTTACCCACTATGCCACAGTGCCAACCCCCAGATACACATTTCTAAGACAATGTTAAGCACAAAGAATATGTGCTATAAGAATAAGTACTATGTACAGTAATTTTTCACTTAAAGTTTAAAAATACAACATAAAAAGAATTATATTATTTTGGACACATACATATGTAGATAACATGTAACAAAAACAGGGACATGGAGGATGTACAACATTAAGAAGGTGATTTGAGGAAGGAGGGAGGGAAAGGGAATCCGGCAGGGGCAGAGAAGGGGCATTCAATTTCACTTCTATATTACGTTTCTCAAAACAAGAAATGAGATCTGAAAAAAGCACTCTGAAATATTATTTATTAAATCAAGGTGGATAATACCTTATTCTCTACTTTTATTTATATACAAACATATTGATAATAAAAACAACCATAAACCAAACTGCATTTAAATGCCAAATCATAAATTTTTTTAAGTTTCCACCCTTGGATTTTATTACTTCCCTCGGCTAATTAAAAAATAAAATCAAGGGGGATTTCAGAACATTAACCTATCACCAACTGTGCCGGTGTTTTCTATGGATGGCCGTATTTTATGAAGTTTGGGGAGTACATTGGCACAGGGACTCCAAGGAATACATTTTCATTATTTGAGGAAGGATTGTAATGGCCTGTTGTACATCATTGTTAATGGGAGTCATGTACATAAATCCCTAAGCAGGCCTTTTAAAGGTTGCAGTTTTTGCTCAGCCAAAAATAAAAAGCACTCTCTCGCCTTCCTGGATAACTGTGCTCAGCAAGTGTGTTTTATATTTTCAAATGAAACAATATGGAAGCATTTATTTAGGGCATTTTGCCTTATAAACTTTTTCAGCAGGACAGAAGGGCAACTAATCATTCCTGTGAATCTCTGGAATACTGTAGATATGTTACTAATTGCAGGAACAAATAGCACCACCATGTTCTCTTCTGGGGGCTACATATTAAGATGTGGCTGGTGTGCTCTGAATTCAGCACGCTTTTGTTCATTGTGTGTCAATTCACTGGGACAGTGACCTATGACTATGGAATGCAGCTTTGAGGTGAAATATGTGATCGACCTTTTAATGTTCTGTGGACAGCACATTATGTGTAAAATGTTCTCCAAATTAATTTTGTCTAATACTGCCTGCATTCTGACTAGAAAAAAATTTTATGGGCTGGAACATGAGAGTTTATAGTAGATATATTTTAGGTATATTTTAGGTTCTCAATTTCAGTGTTATTTAATATTGCTCAGATTACTAAACCTAAAATTTATTCATATACTCTGTGATTTATTAACTTTCCATCATGCACTATTGGGCCCCAGAGATAAAGTGATGACCAAAACAACACCACTGTCTTCAAATTGTTAATAATGCAGTGAGTGATAGAGTCAAGAGGACAGGAAGACAGGTACCACGTGTGTGGTAAGCAGAGAGTACTGAGGGAGCACTCAGAATTAAGGTCCAATGCAGTCTAGAGTGGTAGGAGTGCCAGGAAAGGTTTCATGGTCTCTGTGTTGATGCTTCATTTGCAAACAAGAGGAAGAAGACACTAAGCAGAAGACCTAGCACATGGAAAGGCCCAGCAACAAAAAAAAGCATATTTGGGGACTAATTTTCAGGTTACTTCTTTAGTATAACGACTGTTAATTGCAGTGGGAATTTGCCTAGTGGTTAAAGCCTCCAGTAAAGATGCCTGATTCCCATTTTGGAATGCCTGTGTTCAAATCCCAGCTCTGCTTTCTGATTCCAGCTTCCTGCTAACACAGATCCTGGGAGGCAGCAGATGGTGGCTCAAGTACCTGGGTGCACACAACCCTATTGGGAGACCCTGATTGAGTCCCTAGCTCCTGGCTTTGGCTCTAGCCTAGCCCTGACTGCTGGGAGCATTTGGGGAGTGAACCAGTAGATAGAAAGTCTCTGTCTTTCAAATAATAAAAACACATTAAATTAAAAATTTTAAACCAGACTGGAACACTAGCTTGACTACCAAAGGTCAAGAGAGACATTTTCTGTTGCCAACTAGCCACAGCCCCTGGGCTAAAAGTCTCTACACAGCTCGGAAGCTTTGTACTCACAAGTCTCCATAATGTTGTGGAGATGCCTGTGTAGTGGTCATTGGAATATGGTTAAAGGCAAAAATCCCAAGTCCAAAGTTCTGGAAGTGGCGCAGGACAGGAGAGGATGCCAGATACTATTGAGGCTCTTGAGGACCAGCAACAGAATGAAAGCTGTGTGCTGTGATGTAGACAACCTCTAAGATGGTCTCCAATGATGTATGCCTTCTGGAGTCACACCCTATGAAATCCTGTATTCTTGATAGTGATATTTGCTTGTCAACTCTTCTAAAAAAACAGAGTGGGGTAGAAGTCACTTTTGAGATTAAGTTAGTAAAAACCTAGGCTTCTACCTTTGGTTCTCTGTCCCTCTCTCTCTCTTTCCCACTTTCTACCCCTCCCCACCCATTGTTCATCTAACATGGCAGATAATGGAAAGCCCCTTATGGTGGAAACCAAGACTCACCAGCAACCATATGAGTGAATTTGGAAGCAGATCTCTCCAGAGTCACTTCTTCAGATGAAGCCTCATCCTTTCCTGGAAGCTTAATCACAGCCAACTGGGAGATCTTGATCCAGAAACACTCAGCTGATCTGTACTCAGATTGTTGACACATAAACACTGTGGAATAACAAATATTTCTTGTTTTAAATAATTATGAGGAAAACTTATTGTGCAGCAGTAAATAACATACATAGCCACCATTCCCTCCAAGTACCTACAATTCCACATTGTCAGGAAGACTGGTGGGTTGATTACAAAGAGTTATTATGATTGCCCACATTCAGAAACAAAGTTTGTTTCAGACCTGAAATATATGTGAAAATAATGATGACGAACTAGGGGATTCAAAGTCGTTTGTGATGCTACCAGATTAAGGCAGAGCGTTGATGATTCAGTTGCTGGCAGGACTCAGGCCCAATCCAATGGCATTCTCTTCTATGTGAGAGTGAATTCCACCTTTTTCTCTCTTCTGGTCACCCACACACTTCCCTGGTGATGCACAGCTCAAAGCTGAAAGATCACCCAGATGGCTTTTCAGTAATACTGAAGGTTTGTTGCTAAGCACAAGTCTTTTTCGATTGGCTGTATCTTCTCTCATTTGTGTCTGTTTTACTACAAACCTGAAATTTAGAATGATCTAGAATTTATGTACTTAGGCAGTGTTTCTGGGACACCTTTCCTTTTATTTTCACATGATGTAATCATGTTTCCTTCATTTGTTCACAAGAAAATGCTTTGGATGGTGAGCTCATGATCTGATCAGTCATATTCTGGCATAGAAACTAATTCAAAGAGCAAAAATCTACAGAGGGTTATTTGCCAAGTGAAAACATGTGAGTCACTGATACATTGATTCATTTGTTTAAATACTTGGGAAGGTTATGGTGAAAATATAATGCTACAGGATTTTAGAGTCCTTCTAAATAAATAGTTGATTGTGTGTCAAGAACCTAACCATTTTGTCTTTACTTTGTAATGCAGGAGAAGAAAACCTCCTGGCAATTTTGCGACGAAGATGGTGGAAGTATATGATCCTGGGACTCATAGACCTAGAAGCAAATTACCTGGTGGTCAAGGCTTATCAGTACACAACTCTGACCAGCATCCAGGTACCAGTGGTTCCTCTTCCCTTCTCAACCTCCCTAGTATCCAGATATAGTTTGCTTTCAGTTTAGTCTCTTGGGAATCTGAATACTACTAAGTTTAAAACAAGAGAGAATTGGTTGTATAAAAATTAACTGGAACTTTACAGACCTTATTAATTTTTCAGTTGTAATTCGAATATAATTGTACATCTTTTTCCTCTTTGTTCAGAGTACACCACAATAATCATTAATAATACAGAAAAATAGCTCCAGCTTTGAATGCTACCAACTAACCTTATGTTAACATGAGAATTATTAATAAGTATAAAAACAAATCTATTTTAATGATAGCTTAGAACATTTTAGAATGTTAAACTTTGATTTTGCAATCAAACTGCTTTCTGCTTTTTTCTTTTAGCTTTCTCTAATGTATAGAATTTGCACCCTGAAGGGTAGTATTTTTTTCTAAAGGGTGAAGATTAATCTCCTACAATGTATTATGCATGAAGATTGTTACTGTATTGCTCTCTCTTTCATTCTCCCTCTTTCTTTCCACACATGTGCACCACACACAATTAAAAGTTGATCTTTGCTTTTCACAATTTTTGCCGCACCTTTACTCCTCTTTACACTATAAATGGTCAGCTTGAATCTGTTTTGCTGTTATTTTTACTGTACAGAAGTATTATGAATTTCATAACCATTCCAAATTCCAAGATAAAAACAAAACATTGTTCACATTACAGATAGCCTAGATGTGATACTTTAACAAGATTCCTGCCATCTTGTTAATTTGATAAAGAATAACAAAAAAATTGGAGAAACGAAGCATCAAAATAAATTTAAGTTATATAAAGTGATGGCAATCTAAGCCTGATTTAGCTTTCCTATGATTTTACTTCTAAATGAACTTCAAAGATCATGCCTTAATCTGTTTTTGCTACTGTAATAATATATTTAATACTAGGTAATTTATACTGAATGGAAATGTACTGGCTCACAATTCTGGAGGCTGGAAAAACCAAGATTAAGAGGCCAGCATCTTGTTACAGACTTCTGGCTGCATCATCCCATGGTGGAAGGGAGAAGGGGAAGAGGAAACAAGAGGGTGCCACACTGACTGCCTTCTGATGGCACCAATCTCACCCGTGAGGGTGCAGCCTTCCTGGCCTGATCATCCCTTAAAGACCCTACCTCTTAATGCTCTCAAAATGGAAATTAAATTTCAACATGAGTTTTGGAGGGAGCAACATTGAAATCACAGCACATGGCCTTGAAACAAAAGTGATGAATAGTAGCACTTTTCCAGTACCTCTCCATATGCATTTTGCATTCCAAGAGCATTTGTTGGATGGATTCCCTAATGAAGACACACTTAGAAGCAAGGAGTCAACTGATAAGAGAGACCTGAGTCTGCCTTCTCATTTTAATCCTTAAAATCCTGCAGCTTTTGGCCTAAGGTTGGAAAATACAAGGGAATAAAATCCAGTCATTTGCAACAAAATGGAGGAATCTGGAAAACATTATGCTGAGTGAAATAAGCCAGTCTCAAAGGGACAAATACCATATGTTTTCCCTGATCTGTGACAACTAACTGAGCACCTAAAAGAAAACCTGTTGAAGTGAAACTGACACTGTGAGAAACAATGACTTGATCAGCCCTTGTCCTGATTGTTGAGGAACAGCTTGCTATTTTATTTTTTTTAGTATTTTCTTGTTCTACTTAATACCATTGGTTGAACTCTTTAATTAACACACAGTTATTCTTAGGTGTTTAAATTTAACTGAAAATTGATCCCTGTTAAAAATAAGATTGGGGCCGGCACCGCAGCTCAATAGGCTAATCCTCTGCCTTGCGGCACCGGCACACCGGGTTCTAGTCCCAGTCAGGGCGCCGGATTCTGTCCCGGTTGCCCCTCTTCCAGGCCAGCTCTCTGCTGTGGCCCGGGAGTGCAGTGGAGGATGGCCCAAGTGCTTGGGCCCTGCACCCCATGGGAGACCAGGATAAGTACCTGGCTCCTGCCATCGGATCAGCGTGGTGCGCCGGCTGCGGCAGCCATTGGAGGGTGAACCAACGGCAAAGGAAGACATTTCTCTCTGTCTCTCTCTCTCACTGTCCACTCTGCCTGTCAAAAAAAAAAAAAAAATCCACGTTTAAAAAAAAGAAAAAAAATAAGATTGGGAATAAGAGAGGGAAGAGATGTACAGTTTGGCACACACTGACTCAGACTTACCCCTAATGGTATAGCTAGAAACATGCCATGGGATTCCACATCCCATTAAGTTGGCATGTACCAATTCCATCTCACAAGTTAAAGTGATCAGTTTAATTGATCATAAAGATAGGATTAAGTGTCAAAGGGAACACATAAATAAGAACAGTGTCTGCTAATAATAACTGATAGAATTAAAAAGGAGAGAATTATCCAACATGGGAAGTGAGATACACAGCAGACTCAGAATGGCAGATGCCCTAAACAGCACTCTGGCCTCAGAATCACCCCTTAAGGCATTCGCATCTGGCTAAAAAGCCCATGAGAGTTTCTCAGGCATGGAAAGCCAAGACACTGTGGCAAAAAATGACCTAAATGAAAAATCTCTGTGAGTGAGATCCCAGCAGAAAGAACAGGCCGTCAAAGAAGGAGGTACGTTTCTCTGAAGGGAAGAGAGAACTTCCACTTTGATTATGGCCTTGTCTAAATAAGGTCAGAGTTTGTGAACTCAAGAAGCTTCCATAGCCTTGGCAGCTCATGACAAGAGCCTCAGGAGATTACTGATGTCATAAATAAGAGTGCCAATTGTTAAATCAACAACGGGAGTCACTGTGCATTTACTCTGCATGTAGGATGTCTGTCCTTAATTGTACTGTGTGAATTAACGGTAAAACTAGTATTCAAATAGTACTTTATACTTTGTGTTTCTGTGTGGGTGCAAACTGTTGAAATCTTTACTTAGTATATGCTAAGTTGATCTTCTGCATTTAAAGATAATTAAAAATGAATCTTAATGAAGAATGGGATGGGAGAGGGGTTAGCAGATGGGATGGTTTGCAGGTAGCAGGGTGGTTATGGGAGGAAAAGCCACTATAATCCAAAAGTTGTACATTGGAAATTTATATTTATTAAATAAAAGTTAAAAAAAAAAAAACAAGGGAATAACCAGAAACATGATGTGGCCTCAGAAGCAATACACTCTGGTTTTTGGCACTGCTCTTTTAAAAATGTATTTGTATGAAATCCTGGTCTCCTTTTTTTGGAAATTCCTTTTCTTTAACCTTAAGGATCCTATTCACCTTGACATTTGCTTTCATATTTCTGAGTTTTTTCTCTTTTTCATTCTTTCCTCTATAGAGAAGAGACTCCTAAAATGCCACCATAACAGTCTTTTAACATTTCTTTTGGTTAAAAGCATATTAGACATGCTCATTTGCTCTGTTCTCAATATATCATCATGTTCTTGGTGGGATTTGAGTATCTTTAAAACAAGGACTAAGATTTTTTAAGATTAATTTGTAAATCTTTCTGATAGCAACATCATGCTTAAACTAGCATGTAAATATAAATACACCAAATATACATAAATGTAACCCCTCTAGGACTCCCCTAGCTACAGGTCCTTTGTTTCACCTAACACCACACTGAATTCCAAGAAAACACACACAAAAAACAGTTGCTTCCAAGGGGAGAGTAAATTAACATATACCTTGTAACAGGGATAATTATGTTTTCTCCATACTCATCTTTCCCCACAATAAATTTTAAAATGTAAAATTCTCTTTAAATATCTCAGTTACCTTACAGTTTTTGTATACTGTACCTAAATGAAATGAAATGTACATAAATGAGTGAATTTGCCATAAATCCAGTGGGTTTTCTTTACTTATTTAACTTATTTTTATTGTTTAACTTGTTAAAGTGAACCAATTTTATTATCTCATATATACAGATTTAAGAGATAGTGATAATGCTCACCCTACCCTTCCCCCCTCCACGCTTTCACCCTTCCTCCTCCTTCCTTTTCCTTTATTTTTTTTTAAGATTTATTTATTTATTTGAAAGTCAGAATTACACAGAGAGAGAGGAGAGGCAGAGAGAGAGAGAGAGAGAGAGAGAGAGAAGTCTTCCATCCGATGGTTTACTCCCCAATTGGCCACAACGGCCAGAGCTGCACCTATCTTAAGCCAGGAGCCAGGAGCTTCTTCCGAAGCTCACACTCCAGTGCAGGGGCCCAAGGACTTGGGCCATCTTCTACTGCTTTCACAGGCCATAGCAGAGAGCTGGATGGGAAGTGGAGCAGCCAGGTCTCGAACTGGCACCCATATGGGATGCTGGCAGTTCAGGCCAGGGTGTGAACCCGCTGTGCCACAGTGCCGGCCCCTCCTTTTTCTTTCTATTAATTTCTACAGCGATATACATTTGGCTTATTTTGTACTGATAGATTAACCCTACACTAAGTAAAGAATTCAACATAGTAAGAAGGAAAAAAAAAAAAAAAAAAAACAGTGTTCCACAACAGTAGAGACAAGGGCTATAAACAATCATCCAATCTCAAAATGTCAACTTTACTCCTATATATTACATTTTTTGGATACTCTATTAGTCACCACAGATCAGGGAAAACATATGGTATTTGTCTTTTAGTTTAAAAACTATTTATATACTTTCTTTGAAACATACTTACACATTGAAAAAAATCACACAAAGAAAAATCAGAGGCAGTGTTCTTGCTGTATGTACTAATATCAGTCATTTGGTACAGTTAATGATTTGAAGCTGTACTAGAAAAACGGTCTTCTACTTTTCTTTCCATCTCTCCTTTTCTCTCTTCTTCAGTTGGAAACAGCTTTTGGGATTGGGATGTCTCCAACTATAGATACCTCTCAAATTCCTTATACTTCTCTCCCCAACACCTGCCCAACACACACACAAATAAGCTACGTTTTTAAAATTCTTAGTGCCTTTGCTTAGGCCTTTTCTGTTATTTGGAATATCTTTCTCTCCTCCAACCCCTGCCTATTGAAATCC